TTCAAGTCAATAAAATTATTATTTCTTTCATTAAGGCCAAAATAAACTTTTTATTTATTTAAATTTGTTAATTTATAATAAATGATAATAATAAAAATTATTATTAAAAATGCACTCTAATATTGTGATCCTTTGATATTTAATTAATATGCAATTCTAATGAGTGTTCACTAGCACAATAATGCATGCAGAATCGATATTTAACCATTATTAATAATTTGTTTATAACAATTGCTTAAGCAATTATCGTCGAATGTTAAATTGATATGCTTATTGCCTGTAAATACAGTGACAATGCATAATCGTAACGAAAACCACATATTGCACGTTAATTTTCCATTTGTTTATCAACAAAATAAAAAAATTATCAACAAATATTATTGTTGAATGTTTATGATTCGTTGGAAAAAAATTTAAGCTATAATCAAATTCGATATGTGTAAAAAAGTATAAGAAATCAAAATTTCACAATTGTTTAAAATTTGTTTATAACAATCGTTTGTTATAACAATTGTCGTTAAAAATTAGAATGATATGATTATTTCCCATCAATCCAATTAAAATGCTTAATTGTGATGAGAACAACATATTGCACGTTAACTTTTCATTTGTTTATTAACGAAACAATTATTATTATTAACAAATATTAATTTTGAATTTTCATACTATTTTAGTGATTGTAAAAATAACCAATGAGCTGAGATAGCTTTCGGCTCACAAAAATTGCAATGATAATTCAATAAATGAATAATTAGGAAATTTTATGTTATAACAAATTGATAATGAGAGACTTCAATTAGCTGTATAATGTTTAAACAAATAGCTAATTAAAAAAGGGAAACGGCATTGGATTCCTCATGATCTCCCGAATCTGACACTATTTTTGGATTTTTTTTCCGTGCTAAAATCCCTTGACACTTTAATTTAGATCATTTTTTTTCAGTTTGGTACCACTGTGCACCGGTGCTGCTGGTGCCTCTGCTGCGACACTGCCTCGGCCATTATCGTCACCACGGCAATCATAGCAGCGGCAGCTCGAGGGCTCTCGCCAGCACCGCCGTCGTATTCGCCGTGGATCAGGACAAGTATTACTATCCCCTGTTCGTCTACACGACGATGAACATGATACAGCTGGCGACGGTGGCCAACGCCCTGAGCGCATCCTTTCTCTGCAGCGTCGCATTCATCCGGGCACAGTTCAGAATCATTGTGTGAGTGCTGAGCGGGAGTTAAGGGTGGAACATATATTGAGCTGATTAATCCATTTTTGTACTTTTTTCTGGGGGTGACTATTACGAAGACATCGTTTGACTAATCTGGACAGCTTGGTTCAAAGGGAATATTTGAAGCGGGATCTGAGCATTCAGGATTATATTCATCAAGAATTCATCAATCTCTACCTGTACCACATCAACTCCATAAGGTTCAATTATTCAAGCGACGAATATATTGATACCATTGTGCATAACAATTAAAGTTTCTATAAATATTTTAGAAACCTCAAACTTATAAACATGATTGGCGAGAAGCTTTTGTTCATCGTATCGGTTTTGTGCTTGCTGGGTTTGAGTTTTTCGGGCTCTATGGTAAAAAAAAATAGTCGCGTTTGTCTTACCTTGCAATAACATTATATTATTTAATTACACATTATTTATATAGGCTGTCATCTTTTTGAGAAAGGCACCGCTTGCAGCTCTGAACTTTGTGATGTGCTTCATAGTGTTGTTGATTTTATCGCTCATGCTAAATTACGTAGGACAAAGCGTAATCGACGCCAACAACGAAGTTTATCATAATTGGTAATTATGACGCTTTTGATTCGGGTATTTTCCGGTAGAAATGCTCAACATTTTTATTTTATTCAACATTTGATGGCCATGTTAATGGTCCATTTATTTTTTAATTTTTACATGTGTGATGTTAAACTTCAATTGAATTAAATTTCACTGAATCGAATGAAATCAATTTGACTGACCCACTATCACATTGTTCGACATGACAATGAAACTTTGCAATAACGTATATCTAATACAGTTAATATGACTTTGCCGCTTGCAGATACGAAGAAGTAAAGATATGTGCCATCTAGGTAGAAAATGGTATTATCGAATTTAAAGCGCTTGAAAATTGGTCTCAATTTTTAGAAACAATTTAATTGTCGTTTTTAAGTCATTTAAAAACCCCCTAATATTTTGCAACAAAATTGTAAAAATAATGACTAAAAACAAGCTGATCAATGATCATTTATCTCAAAACGTTTAAAATGGTAATTTCATTGACCTTTATTGATGTTGAGTATTTCTACCAGGATTATTACAAAAATAGCGCACGATAACGTTTGTTTCGACGTTTGATCTCGACAAAAGAGCTATTTTGTGCCTATATACGCGTATCGACAGCTATCATTGCGGCTGGTACGGCTTCCCGGTGAAAACCCGGCCCTTTGTCTTTTTAATGCTGATGATAACGAGAAAGGCTTGCGGATTAAAATCCGGCCCGTTCACCATACTCCAGCTGAGCTATGAAAATTACAGCCTGGTAAATACGTCAAAAGAGCACACACTTGTCAACCTAGTTAAATCGTAACTTTCGTTCAAAGGTACCACATTTATTTTCGTTTTTATTGCAGATTCTAAAGAGTGTAATATCTTACATAACGGTTATGATATCAGTCCTTTGAGTCCATCTCGCTCTCTCCTGGGGAAAAATCACGTTTGAACTGCAGCAGAAAAATAAATTGCGTCGCTAGCTGTGTGTAGAATGTACGAAATTTTTAAAGAAACGTAAAATCCTTGAAAACTGCCTTTTTATTTCGGCAAAAGCCCTTACCGTTTGTGCAATTACCAAAATAACCTTGCGCTTTACCCAAGTTGCGCCAAGTTTCGGCTAAACTAGCTCTCGCGCGTATAAATGTAAAAAAACTAAAATTTTCTCTCTCACCGTTACCTCTTTACATCTTCTTTTATTTATTTCACGACCTGTTCATGCGAATTACAAATGTGTAAACACACATGGCGCACCCCATGCCGAAAATAGCGCGTCTCCAGAGAGATCCCAAATATTTCAAATGTACGAAAAAGAAAAAAAATAAGGGAGAGGTAACGTAAAAAAAAATCGAATCAACCTCGACTGCTACTGCTGCTGCTGCTGCTGCTGCTGCTGCTTCTGCTGCTGCTTTGGGGGGCGGAGAGATGGTACTGCGCTCATCCAAAGGTAAGAAAGTAAACATACTGCCTCTCACGCGCGCACACAGCTCCTCGAGCTCGTCTAGCCCCGTATAGGTATACAGCTCTCAGTTTATTCTACGAAACTCTATATATAAATATATATGCTGCACACACGCCGCACGCGCGCGCGCGCCCGCCAAGGCGGCAACGGCACTTTCTTTTATGTGCTCAACTCGAAGTTGCAGTAGCAGCAGCCACAGCAGCCAAGCCAAGATAACTTACTTCCAACATACGCAAGATTAATACACACACGCGGAGAGACCCACCCTCGCGTATATATATATATAGAGTAGAGTTGGGGCTGCTGCTCTTTCTTCGGCGTGCCTATATATATGTATCTAAGAGAGTGGATCGAGGGTGGCGAAGAGAAAAAAAAAGAAGAGGAGGAGAAAAGACGCTTTGGTACTGCAAAGACCCAGGTAAATGCCACCCGCACACCTAATAAGCTGCCGCCACTGCTGCTGCTGGTACTCTCTTTGGCGCGCGTATTATATTAAGTCGCACACGGGGCTAGACTATATATATTCGGGGTGGTGGTGGTGGTGGTTATACACTTGTGCGATGATGATGAACAGAGTCCGAAGCTTATACGCCGAGACCAAAGCCAAGCCAAGCTGTGGTGCATCTCACTCGTTCTCTCTCTACCTTATATACACGCGCTGGCGAGTTATATCCATTTTTTTTTCTCTCTCGACTCGTCTCTTCTTTAATACTGGCGGGCACGCGCCAACACACACACACACACACACACTTGGCGCTGCAGCAAGGCGGAATTGCCAACAGTAGCCTCGGGTGCTGCTGCTCGGGGGCAATTTTTATGTACACACACATAAACACACGCTGAACGTCGTCGTCGTCGTCGTCGTCGTGGCTGGCGCGTGCCGCGCTCTATTGACGCGCTTCTCCGTACAAGACTGTGCGCCCTTGCTAGAATTTTTATTTTTTGTTTATCTTTTTTTTCTGTAACTTTCTCTCTCTCTCTCTCTCTTGCTTTGGCAGCTCTCTTGGAGTGTCGTTACACAGCAGCAGCAGCAGCAGCAGCAGCAGTCGTCGACGAGGACGAAAAATTACGAGCTTCTGGCGAGTCTGGGATGAAAGATTTATATTGTGACACGCTGCTGCTTTCGGCTCTGCCCTTTTTTTTGTTCAACTGGGTCAAAGAAAACATTTTTCGTGATTTCTCGTTACGGTTCGTCGCCTATACCGTACGCGTATTCATCGAAATTGCTGTGTCGAAGCCGAGCAAAAAAAAAAAAAAGACAAACAAGCCGAGTTATATATTTTTATCGGCTTTATATTGGTGTCGCAACCATAGATACGTCATTATTCAAGCCCTCGCTCCTCGCTACGAGCGAGGCAAAATATACCGTTATAGCTTTTAATGGGCGCGCGAGCGTCGAACGCGAGTCGAGTAGAGAGAGGCATCATCGCTGATTAATATGAAAAAATAAATTACTCCATCCTCCTCCTCCTTCCTCTGCTTGCAGCACGTTGTATACACTATACATCGGCTAAAGATCATATTTTACGAGCTCGTTGAGAGGAGCGAGAGAGAGAGAGATAGTCGAGGTATTAAATTCCAACGTAAATATATAAAAAAAAGGAGAGAGAACGGGCGAAGGAACCTTTCCATTAGCTAAATCAAACAATCTATACATCATCTTTCCTCGAACCTGGGCTATTTTTCTATATATTCCCAAGCTCTACTCCTTGCGCGGCGTGGGCCATTTTTCCCTCCCCATAATTTTTATAATACCGAATATCGTTCGACAAGCTCTCCTCCGTAACGTCACGTTGCGCAGCGCATCGTTATCATCTTTATGGAATTACGATCGAAGAGAAAACGTGGGGAAAAAAAGGAAAGAGGCGAATTGGTTGAAATTCAGTGGTGCAATGTGCCACTTTGGGAGGGGTGATACAGTAGTACATACTCATTCATGGGGTAAGCAAGTAAGTAAGTTAGCGAGTAAGTAAGTAAAAAAAGGATAAGGAATGGGAATCAGCATCAGAGTGAGAGAGAGAGAGAAAAAAGGAGAGCGAGGCGCGATAAATCACGAATGCAACGACACGATCGCCCGGTGTCTGACCGCACGTACAGCTCCTCCACTGCCGCCGCCGAAGCTCATCCGAGGGCCGGAGCACGCGCGCCGATGCCGCTGCCGCTCGCACCGATCGCCTCCATAGCAATAGTACTCTCTCTCTCTCTCTCTCTCTCTCTATCGCGTGTCTCTTGCATTTTCGATAAACCGTATAACGGGGTTGGTCGGGTTGGGTACGTCGAGTTGCAGCTTGCCGTGTGACCGGAATACACCACGTAGCAGCAGAACGACGACTTCTTCTTCTCTTCTACTTCTTATTGCATCACGTTTATACTCGCAGGGCACACATACATACAGACGCACATACAAAAAAAAACGCGCCAGACACACGTAATCGAGCTTTGCCATCGAAATAAGGCTTTATAGTGCTGGTGCTGTTGAGGGAGAGAAAGAGACGATCGCAGTAATGCTGTTATTTTTTAAGGCATCGCATCACGTTTAAAACTAAACGTTATCTCTATCGAGAGCTCTGCGGATCGCTCTCATACTTTTGTCTGTGTTATACGCGTACAGAGAGAAGAGAAAGAAAGAGAAAGAAAAAAATGTCAACGTTCCCTCTGTCTCCTACTCTTTCGCAGCCTCTCTCTCCCTCCCTTACCTCGGCTCTAGAGAACTCTGCCGCGCATAAACAGTATAAAAGCACTCGGGAAGCAAAGCGAGCGAGAAAAGAGAGAGAGAGAGAGCTAGAGACGAGGAGAAATAGTAAGAGAAACCGCGCGCGGGATAGAAAACGACGCGCGCCCGCGTCTCGACAGGAAATATGCACCGGAGACGATGGATGATGAGCAGCAGAGAGCTAGAGCTCCCGTTTCCTTAGATATACCGTAAGAAGAAAGAACTCTATATCGCGAATGCATATATAGCGGCAGCAGCATCACCACAGGGTTGCCGCGCGCGCGCGCGATCTATCCATGCGCTTTCATTCTTCTATCTATCGAATGAAGGCACGAGTTGTTTCAAGATGAATACGTCTCTATCTGTGTGTGTTTACGAGAGTATCGCTTTGAAAAGTTATACATTATATCGCAGTGAGCCTCCCAACCGAGGGACGATTTTAGGAGACAAAGGAAATGAGAGACTCGTTTATATATATCTATAGCGCGAAATAATGTCGACGATTAATATCTCTCTCCTTCTCGAAACTACTACAACTGCTACTACAGCAATTCGGTTGACGGCCGATCGGCGCGGGGGGCACATACACTGCACAGTAGTATACATTAGGGAGATTAAGTACGTGACCGGCAAGTCATTCGGGCGCGGGACGCTATATACCAGCTTCTTTTACGACTATCTGTAGAGCGTTACTTTTCAAGTTAGCTCGAGAGAGAGAGAGAGAGAGAGAGCAAGAGAGAAAAACGATGTAAGTTTTTTCCACACCCCCCTCTTCACTCCGGTACACTTCGAGACGGCGGACGGCGACCGCCCGAGGAACAAAGTGAGTCCTTCTCCATCCCACCCCATCCAGATGCGCCCTGGGAAAAGTTCGATGCTAAGCCGTACACTGCAGCTAATTGCCGCTCGCTCGCGAGGCACGGCTCGCGATTTGTAGTTTTGCCCTGCGCTGCGCTGCGTATATAGATGTAGCAGCCATCACATATATATACACACTGCTCTTATACTGCACGCTGAACGTGTATATAATGAAACTGTTCTCTTTATCTGTTTTTTTGCCGTTTTTTTTTTATTTTACTTCTCTCGTCGTGCGGCTGTACTGCAACTGCATGTATATTATACACGTATAGTACGAGGCTAATGAGTATAGGAGAGAGAGCGAGAGAATGTAAAATATCGAAAAGATAAAAAAGATAAAAAAAATATAAATATACAGAAAGACGTATGAAATATGGTCGGATACGACACACGGAGCTGCGCAGGGCTTTTGTATATAAGTTTTTTTTTCCAGTACGTATGTGCGCATAAATATACGTATCTGCATTACAGGTGTGCGTACGAGTTTCGCGTGTTGTATAACAAGCCAATACTACAAGTGTTTCACAATCTATACGAACGTAATACATGTATGTACGCGAGATGCCCGCGTATACTTTTAATTGATAAAAAAATTAAAAAACAAATAGGATGAATGGCAATTTTAAGCCACGCGCGCTGCCTAATTGAAAGAGGCGCTGCTGCTGCTGCTGCGTCCAGTAGTGCAGGCAATCGTGTATCACACTCGTATATTTATTAAATTGATCGATTCGATTTCGATTTATCGTGTCTTCTCTTCCGCGCACCAGCCAAGAGTTCAATTTCAATATCGCTTTTCGTTGTCGAGAGTATGTATGTATGTGTGTACGAGACTGCGCACCGGGGGTAAACGTATAATTTTATTATATCGCACGCGAGAAAAT